AGAAAATGTTTCACTAATGCAGTTCATGTGGCATTATCCCAGATGTATCTAAATTGCTTTCGTTATTCTACGCTGCACGGCTTGCATGCTTCTATTTTGCTGTGTTCTGCTTGTCTGTTGGGTTGTTTTTATCTAGCAGTCTGAGAGACCAAGAAATACAAACAAACTTCTCAAACACATGTAGATGTTACATAAGCAGGTGTTTCTTGCTAACAAATGAGATACTTTTAATATCAGCTGGATTTGGAGAATCATTTAGACAGTTATTTGCAGTCCATTCAAAGTAGTTGGTGGTTCTCATTGTTCAGTTTCTGAATGTTTCTAAGTCTAAGATGTGTGTTTTACAGTATCAAGGGAAGCGATGAGCTTCTATGAATCCCCCTTTAAGTACATTACACAAGTTCAAAAACATATAACCTATAGTGGAATAAAAATTTTCTGTCCCATTTTGTTTCAACTCTAGTGCTTCCTTTTTCATTTCCATAGTAATTTTGTTTCACATGAAGCTATTGTGTTCAAATCTACTGCAGTAGAAGATACAAAGAGACATAGGGTAGAAATAATAAGTTATAGCTCAGAAAACAAGTAGCAGCATCAGTGCTTCAGCCTGTTGATACTGAATGGCTGAGGAATCTGTTCAAATGGCATATTGCAAATCTTATCTCCTTGCAAGCCCTTTTAACCTCTAATAATAAATCTATTCTGGGTCTGGAGCAACAGAAGGATACCTTAAAAATCCAATAATTTCAGAAAGAATGTAAAATTGGGTCTTTACAAATGCTCATAGACAACATTTTGCAAAGCATGTGACTCCAGCCCACTCACTGTCACCTTTTCATAATCTCACTTTAGAGATGAACAAAACATTTCTATAAGTGAGCCACCAGCTAAGAGGGGATTTACTGTTGGTGGAAGTGCTTGTCCTTTTCCCTGTCTGCCCACCCAGCTGCTTTGCATGCAGCTCTGGAAGCTGGAAATCAAGACTGAAAATAGCTCAATGTCTGCATTGGTGAAACAAAGACACTCTGCTAGTACTTCATCATAGACACGAACTGGAAAAGAGGCAGCAAGAGACATAGTACTAGACTGCTGGTAGGCTGCTTTTTCTACTAGTTTTTAAATGCCTCACAGAATCTAAACCCCGATAAAACAATCTTCTGACGTGTTGTCTTTGAGGTTGTCTCTTGCTACAGCACACCTGAAAGTATATAGCACTGGATCAGTCATTTATTTATCTGTCAAAATTGGTCCAGTTTCCCACCTTTTAAGTAGAGTGTCTTCACCTGTGTTACAGAGAAAATCTTGACTAAGAAGGAATAAATGGAATCACTACTGTATGTTTATTTAGAGATAGATATTGACCAATTCCAGTACACTAACATATTTAAATGTTTCCACTCTCATTGTGAACATCAAATTTCAAGTGAACTCTCAACAAGAAATAAGGAATTTTAAGAAAAAAGTAGAATGCTGTAACAGAGGAGTAAGAAATAGATACAGGAGTACTGCAGATACGGCAGAAAAGAGTGAAAGATGTAAGAATAGGCAAAAACCAGTTTATGAAGGCCCATAATAATACTATTAACAGGTCAGATTAGTACTTTTGAATGTTGCACTTTGTCACCATAGTTAATACAGATCCAAGTCACCACAAGTAAGAACATAAATTCTTCCTTTGGATGTTTCTAATGCAAAGTTTTACATATCTTGTTCTTTACCTGAAAGACTGTAGCTTCTGTTCAGTTATCTTATTCATCTTTGTGAAATACAGGTAAATGGACGTAATGGCAGCCCCTAATGACAGACGAAGAGTGAGGAAAGGTACTATGCTCTTTTACCCTTCATGTTTCAAGCCCTCATATATGCATTTATGTATGCTCCCCAAATAAACAATCCATCATATATTTCCTTATAATCCCATCCAGAGGATTTTAATCATTTTGAAATGTTCTTTACATGCAGAATCATGGGCTCCCTCTTCCTTCTTCAGATTTCATATTTGCCAATAAACTCCCATTGTTTCCTTTATGTCTTTGGTCTTTATCTCACAGCACATCAGTTATTATTTGTGACAAAGCAAGTACTTCTCCAACACTTTTCTCAGTTCCCTATCCTTTAAAGAAACTCCAATCCCCTAATGATGCCAAAAGGTCTTCTCCCAGTTTGGAAAAAAAGGTGCCTCCTGATGCCAGAGCATGAGAGTCATCAGCACAAAAGACTAATAAAGAGCCTATAACAACCATACAACAGAATGGAAGGAAAAGAAAGGCTAAAATAAAAATCCAGTAAGCACAACTTACATTAGACAAAGGGCAGCAAGAGGCTTCCTGTTATAATTCTTTATCCCCATACCTCAATGCCTTATGTCATATTTCTGACATAGGGAATGGTCACATTCCCTACCCAATAGAAAAGGAAGACAAAAGATACTATTAAGATACTATTAGTGGTGGACGTCTTCCCATTCTAACTCAAGAAGTTAAACTGGAACAATTTAAAATATTAACTCTTATGTTAAAACTTGCAAAAGCTGTGAGGTATTTAGCACGTGGCAGTAGCAATACTGATGGAGAGGTCTTTTAAGGCATTTGCCAGAAATAGAGAAAATAAAATGTTAGCACTGAAACTGTCTCCTTGAATCTCTATTGCCTTGTCAGTAACATTTTGTGGCCCCAGAGCCGTTTTGCACTTTATGAGTTAGTTTTTTAACACAGTTATTTAGACATGGCTATTGGCCCGTAACTTGCCAGAATCTTAAACTAAATGGAAAGATTCTAAAAGACACCATTAAAATAATGTATTTAGCATTTAAGGCCTATAAAGAAAGATTTCTTTGTTCCTTTGTATTTTAGAAAATATTCTGCTCCATACAATTCATTTCTCTTGTAAACCTATGTGCAACCAATGTTTAATCTCTGTAGTAACAGGGATTTGTAAAACGAAGCACAACTCTGTCTGAAAGGGTTTATTCTTTCCAAGCTATGAGCAGGTCATAGTAAAGACCCGTTTATTTTATGTCACTGGATAATAATTTAAACTTGTAAATAGTGTCACTTTCGCTGTGGAGCTTGTGAGAAAAGTTCAAAACCACATGTTTTTTACTTTTAGATTCCTTTATCGATTTCACTATTACTGCAGAAAGTAAATACTTTTGGAAATCATTCACAGAGTTGGAAGACAAAAACCTTGTAACTGGAAAAAGGTATTCAAAACTTTTTTATACAAAACAAACCTACCAAAATGAAATTGTCATAATGTCCCAATCATAAAAGCTGGTGGGCATATGCTTAATGAGAGATGCGTGTTAGTTTGCTGTTTGAATTTGACCCACAAACAAACTAGATCCTCCTCCACTTTTTGTTACAGGAAATGTATTAGTGTAGGGTGGAGGGCTGTTAAATATTGACGTTTATTCCTCTGGAGATCTGGGATCCATTTTAAAAGACCCTGACTACTGACATTATCAGTGGATTAATTTCCACTTCTACAGAGCCTGGTCTTGGACAGTTACGGGAGATTGACCTCTCTGAAGTCTGTAATGAAAGTAGTGCTGAAACCCTACCACCGCAAAAAGCATTTCAACGCTTCTACCCCAAGCAATATTATAACTGAAGGGGGAGATTTTTAAGGCCAACTTTTAAATTTAGACATTTTTATATTACATTTATGAGGAAATCTGTTGAAACTAAACAATCAAGCCATCCGAAGCTTGCTATCAGCGTTACCTGATTTACTTCAGGTGTTGCATACACATACATGTATATATTATGGATTATATGAGATACTGTGTATATTTATGAATATTCTGTATATTTATTGTAAGCAATATGATTTTTTTCTACAGTTACAAAAAAATAAATCTGAATACTTATGAAGTGGACCATCCTATAATTACCTATCAAAACTCATGAAGATTGTTTCCAGTAGGAGGATACCTACATTGAACATAGCCCAATAATATATATACTCTCTTTAATGCGATAGTTCATTCTATTAACATGCCAGAACTAAATGAATCATAGGTCTATAATTATGCTAATAAAATAAAAACATTAACAAATACATCCAAGAAAAGAATTAGAAATGCTTTAAATTTAAAAAAGGGAGTATGAAAAACCACTGAGGAAAGTAAAAGCAACAAAATTTTATATCCATAGTCATAGTTAGATAGAAGATGGTAAAAATGGAATGACCATAGGCATCTTCTGAACCAGAAACTATATACTTCAGCCTTTATTATTAAACATCTAGTTTCTGCAATCATATTGTATAGCAGTTTTGTTTAAGTTTGGTACTCATGAAAACTCATGAAGCAGGGCCTTCCTAAAGATAATATATATGAATGGAAAGAAACTGTGATTAGTCAAATAGGTATTCCTGAAAGGATGCAAAACAGGTTCTGAAATAACAGTAAGAAGATTGTAGAAGAAATAATAGAGAATTTTTAAAATATGCTAAGGACAAATTCAGCAAAAAATCCTTATGCTATGCTTTGAATTATTCACCAGCAAAATGTTTGTCTGAATTGCTCCCTTGAAGCTGAAAAAAGACTTTGCATTTAAGATAAAAAAAAAATTTAAAATAAGAGAAAAATCAATAGCACATAGAACAGGAGCAATAATAAATTGAAAATAGGTCTGTCTCTTATGTTAAGAAACCTCTACAGAGCAGTGGAGAATAAAGAAGCTTTATTTCTAATAAGGATAAAGCTTTTGAAGAAAAACTGATGGCTGAGAAAATACAGAAAAGATGTTTCCCTCCCCCACTTGCCCTCAAACCTAAGCAAACAAAATTTATCCTGATAAAGTGCAATATTTAATAAGGGATGTTTACACACTAGAAAAAGAACATAGCTCATATCTCACATATGGCAGATTCTCCAGCACACATTTGTGCATTTCCTGTTCATCTAAATGCTGCAGATTGGTTGAAAACAATAGCATACAGAAACTTTGCTGGCTTTCGCAAAACTTGGCAAAATTATGAGTGGCTACAAAGACTGTAGATGACAAATAAATTCCTCAAGCTCACAAAAAATAGGCACTGGGATTATCCAGTTGCAGTTTTGTGACATCTTTATGGTTGTCATGGTTTACTCTCAGTAGGAAGCTCAGTCCCAGCCAGCAGCTTGCTCACCGTCCCCCCTGGCTAGTAGAGGAGAGAATCAGAAGAGTAAAAGTGAGAAAACTCATGGGTTGAGTTTAATGTGTAAAACAAAATGTGTGTGCACAAGCAAAGCTAAACAGGGAATTCACTCACTGCCTCCCATCAATAGGCAGGGGTTCAGCCACCTCCAGGAAAGCAGCACTCCATCACACATAGCAGTGACATAACCCTGAATGTCCCTCCTTTCTTCTTCTTCCCCCAGCTTCCTATGCTGAGCATGACACCGTGCTGGAATATCCCTTTGGACAATTGGGGTCAGCTGTCCCATCTGTGTCTCCTCCCAACCTCTAGTGCACCCCCAGCGTACTTACTAGTGGGGTGGTGTGAAGTGCAGAAAAGGTCTTAGTCCTGTGTAAGCACTGCTCAGCAATAACTAAAATCCCTTTGTTGTCAGCATTCTCTTCAGCACAAATACAGATCATAGCACCATACCAGTTACTGTGAAGAAAATTAACCTCAGCCAAAAGACAGTGGTGGTGGGTTTTAAGTGTTGCTTCAAATTCCATTACTTTAGATGTAATGTGTGTCATAAGACATCTTGACAAAAGATGTCTGAAATATTTGATAAATGGCAGGGTATGTGTGACAAATCAATAGTCAGTCAGGGGAATAAGTGCTATTTCCAGTATTACAGGAATATGTTTTTTACGAGAATTTGGTCCATTCCTGTTTAAAACGCTCTCTCCTGACTAAGAATCAGAACCAGTGATGCACGTAACTGCATACCCATGTTGGGCAGACAGGTTGAATATTCGACTAGAGAAATGACCATCTGAAAGTCCACTAATAGGAGTAACAAACGCGTGATGACTATGCAAAGAGCCACATGTATGGATAATGATTAATAATCACATAGCATAAAATATTAGGACTATATGAGAACAAGTTGACTAATCATTTTTTCACCACATCAATAAAACTAATTCATATTTTGCATGCTTTTCATATCTGAGGTATGGGTGTGTGGTTAAAGAAACCAACAAACATGAGAAGAGATAATGCAAATAGCTGCAGCAGAATAAATTAGTAATGTCTATGCCAAATAGCTGTCCCCAGAAAATTGGTCTTCTCTTATTCCCCTCCTCAGAAAGGCTTCTTCTGGCAAGACTTTTCAGATTTTAACAAGGAGCAAAATAGAAACTCTGAAAACTAGTACAATTTCAAAGTGAAGGAGAGTCTTTCTGAAGTTTTCCTTTTTAATCATCCTATTGTATGTTACAGAAGACATTTTTCTTCTGTTAAACTTTGTGGGACACTGATAGATGGAAGAAATTGCAGCAGAGAGCTTTGTGTGAAGATCACGGCATTTGCTTCCCTGCACCTAGCCTTTGAGTCTGCCCTGAGCTGAAGAATCACTTCTCAAAACTGATCATATCAGCATCTGCTCCAGTTTTCAACATAAGCTGTTTGGGCAGCTGCTGAGACCCCTATGCCCAGACTGGGTAGGGTGGCAAAAATAGCAATCTTAAAACCCTCTGGGTATGATGCTGACTAATGCCAAGTGCCCAGTTCAGCAGTGGCCATGGGATAGAACCCCAGCACTTTCCTTTCCAGCAGGTCAGGGACAACAGACGGAATAAAGCTGGGCTCAGTAACACCTGGCTCTATTTTGATCAGTATGGCAAAGTGCAGAGGCAAGGACAATGAGACCAGGTGCACAGCAGATATTTTTGGACACTACCTTGAAAAATGATGCGTGGGAAACTCATCTTGTCAGCAAAATGATTTCTCCATCCTTCTCCAAGTATTTCATTTGGTCATTAGGTCAATAAAGCCAGTTTAGCCTAAGCCACTGAGAAGTCTGAAGGTAATCTTCATAAAGAAACATTACCTATGTGGAGCCCCTTGAAATCCTTCCATACATGGCATCCAGTTTTTTAGATTAAAATAATCCAGCCTAACTATTTTCAAATCAGGATAGTTTATGTATGCAGATAGGAGCTGTATATATATATGTTTGAGAATTTGAACCTAAGCCATTTCATACTGCCAAAAAATCTGTTGCAAACTACAGCAAGTAAGAATTGTGCAATACATGAGCAAAGATTATTCTTAGAATAAGCTAAATTAATATTCTTAATTAATATATATTCTGATCATATATACTTGTTGTAAGAAATGAAAGTACAGCCAGGTATGAAACAATTGGATGATCATGTATATATGTATGTGAAATTGAAGAAGGAAAAATTTTTAGGAAAGGACAATGGGAAACAAAAGTAGTGAGCAGGTTCTATGCCACCAGCAGTCTCATGTCTGTGTGATTAGAAGGTCAATACATCTGAAGCAGCAAAAAGTATATGTTGTGAGAAATTATAAGAAGGTGTGTTGTCATGTCAGCCCTCCTCATGCAGTGAAAGGTCAGTGATCCCACTGTGGAGGAAAGCTGACAATTTCTGTATAAGACTGACTGACAGCACGTACACAGTTGGACATCATGTCTGGAGTCAAAAGATGAGTGGGAAACCAAACAGCTTTAGTATTACGATTTTAGCGCTAAAAGCAAAGTCATATCCAACTTCAATGAGAAATGGCATTTGAAACATTTCATTACATATTAATAACCCTTAATAACCCTTGTTATTTACCACATGAATAACCTTTTCAGAGACAATGGACAGGATTGGTTTCTGGTGCACAGTTTAATCCTGTAGCTTTCAGTTCAGCTATTGAGAGTCAAGAAGAAAATTGGAGGCTATGGAAGAGAAAACAATAAATGTGAGCAACACATAGTGTCATGAAAAACCATAACGTGTTCTTTTCCTCACCTTTCTCTGGAGTTTGAGTGGAGGGATTTTATTTCACCCATAAATCTCAGAGGAGCCTGGTCTCTGAAGCACAAAGGTCCTGATTCTGTTTTGATCTACAATAAGCTACATGACAAGCAACTCCACCAGTGTAAAATAGGTGTAAGAAGAATCCAGCTGTCCATGGCACTTGGATAAAATATGGTTCATAATTCTGTTTGTATCTGTGGAGCAGTCTCGCAAGCACAATACCTTATTACTGCCCTTGAGAAATTTTGCAGAGCTCCATCAGGCTAATTCAAACAATGCATAAGAGTCCTTAAGCAGAACTCAATTACTACTCAAGTGGAAGAATAGGTAATTGGACAACACTCATCAATTTTGGTATAAATGATATTAAGTGCCAGATCTGGAAAGCAAACATTTGGGTTACAAAACAGAATGGAGATTAATTTAATGAAACAGTCACAAAATTCCCAGTTCTCTTTGCTCTTCAGTAGGTTAGAAATAACAAAAACTTTCCACTGTATTTCAGGTAGAAGCAGAAAATGAGGTGCATTTACATCTTGCATTTTAAATTAAATACACTGCTAGAAAAGGAACCATAGTTAGACATTTCTCAAATTATTATCATCTCCAAAATGTTTCATCCCTACATAACTTTTTTCAAGCTGTGACTCAGAAACAGCATTAATATGAAATTTTATAAATGCAGATGGGAAACTGAAAACACCATTAATTTTATCCTACTTTAAATATAGGCATTGATACAAACATACATGAATGGAATCATGCATGTATATCATATGTTTTCCTTGTGGTAACTTTTTCGTAAGGATCATTAAAATGTTTCAAAAGCTATTTGGACATTTGATTGTTAAAAGAAGCAATAACAAATAAGGATTCCTAAACTGTTTGTAAAAGGAAGAGAAAAGGAAGAGACAAATTCATGAAAGAAATCTAGTCTATATCTCCATAATTTAATTCATAGTTACTGAAGCAGAAGAAATATATTGTATGGCTATTTTTTCTTGTAAATATACTAAAACTGAAATACTTGTCAAATCCCCCCAAATCTGGAATACAGAACATGAAGTAATCTGAAGTTCTCATTTTGATATATAGAATTTAAATATTTATATTTCAGAGGAATAACTCAGCCAAGCTTAATGCAAACTAGTGGTGATCTGCAGAAAGTCACAGCTGATTTTCATGAATATAAGATTCCGAATAAAGGCAAGAAGGATGTTGATTCAATCAATGTGCAATTACACTGGTCCCATAACCAGGTGCATTTGTACCTGTAGTGTTTGTTCAGAAAGAATGCAGCTGCTGAGGGAAGTAATTTATTTTTTAATGTATTCAGTCATAATGTAGCCATGCTGCCAAGACTATATACTGTACATACATATAATGTAGTCAAGCTTTATATGTATATAAAAAGAGTTGATCTATATTATTGGTACATCTTTATATTTAATTAATAATGACACTGGTAGCTAAACAAAATATAAAAGCTATGTGTAATTTAAACACATATATTTTACAGTAGTCAAATTATGAGCATAAACATGCATCCAAATGTTTTGGAAAAAAATCCTGAAAAATACAATAAATGTGTGAAATTAGGATTTTGTTTCAAAGCAGAGCAGACCCCTTTTTTTCCTGTTGCGGAAATTACTTCACTTTGCCATGGTATAGTGAAATATTCATAGCCTATACTGAGGACTGGATATGACCTTAGTGTCTAATGATCTGAACACTTACCTAGGATGAGGGAAAGTGGGGTTGCAGTTCCTGCACTAATGAATGCTTGTATTCTATATTCAACAATAAACCTATGAAACACATAAATATTCATTGGTGTTGAGACTCTGTCCCCTTGCAGATGAGTGTTCTTATCCTCAGGGAAAGCCATGCTTGATTTTGTTGTCAGTATGTGATTTGACCTCATACTTTGTGTAGTGACTAAGTTTAAGACGTCACTGCTTTGGTTACTCTTCAGTTTTTTTTTCTTTTAAATGAGGTTTTGTCAAAAGAGAAAATGCACATGGATTTACATGTACACATTTCCTTAATGTTTTTAGCTATTCCATCCTTGAAGGATATTGTACTTTCAATATTCTGTTGATCCTACCGTGCTTTGTGCTTTTAAAATTATCGATCAAATTGTAAGAGAGATCCAAATAAAGAAAAAGGAAGTACATGAGAGAAAATATATTCCTGTGAGTGAGG